ACCACCAGTCATGGGACACACCACCAGTCTTGTGACACCACCAGTCATGGGACACACCATCAGTCATGGGACACACAACTAGTCATGGACACACCATGAGTCATGGACACCCACCAGTCATGGCCCAGTCATGGACACACCACCAGTCTTGTGACACACCTGTCATGGGATCACATCATCAGTCATGAAACACACCACCAGTCATGGGACACACCACCAGTCATGGGACACACAACAGTCATGGGACACCCACCAGTCATGGGACACACCACCCTGAGTCATGGGACACACCACCAGTCATGGGACACACCACCAGTCATGGGACACACACCCAGTCTTGTGACACACCACCTGTCATGGGATACACCATCATTCATGGGCCACTAGTCATGAAACACACCAGGTCATGGGACACACCCAGTCTTGGGACACACCACCAGTCATGGACACCACCAGTCATGGGACACACCACCAGTCATGGGACACACCACCAGTCATTGACACACCAACAGTCATAGGACACACCACCAGTCATGGGACCACCATCAGTCATGGGACACACAGTCATGAAACACACCACCAGTCATGGACACCAACAGTCATGGGACACACCATCAGTCATGGGACACACCAACAGTCATGGGACACACCACCAGTCATGGGACACACCACCAGTCATGGGACACACCGTCATGGACCACCAGTCATAGGACACACCACCAGTCATGGGACACACCGATCATGAAACACACCAACAGTCTGCACCAGTCATGGGACACACCACACATGGGTCATGGGACACACCACCAGTCATGGGACACACCACCAGTCATGGGACACCATCAGTCTGGGCACACCACCAGTCATGGGACACACCACCAGTCATGGGACACACCACCAGTCTGGGACACACCACCAGTCTTGGACACACCACCTGTCATGGGACACACCATCAGTCATGGGACACACCACAGTCATGGACACAACAGTCATGGGACACCACCAGTCATAGAAACACACCACCAGTCATGGGACACACCTGATCATGGGACACACACCAGTCATGGGACACACCAACAGTCATGGGACCACCAGTCTGGGACACACCACCAGTCATGGGACACACCACCAGTCATGGGACACACCACAGTCATGGGACACACCACCAGTCATGGGACACCATAGTCATGGGACACACCAGTCATGGGACACCACCAGTCATGGGACACAACAGTCATGGGACACACCACCAGTCATGGGACACACCATCATGAAACACACCGTCATGGGACACCACCAGTCATGGGACACACACACAGTCATGGGACACACCACCAGTCTAGGACACACCACCAGTCATGGGACACACCACCAGTCATGGGACACACCACCAGTCATGGGACACACACCCAGTCATGGGACACACACCACCAGTCATGGGACACACCACCAGTCATGGGACACACCACCAGTCATGGGACACACCATCATCCTTGGGACACACCACAGTCATGGGACACACCACCAGTCATGGACACCACCAGTCATGGGACACACCACCATCATGGGACACCAACAGTCATGGGACACACCACCAGTCATGGGACACACCACCAGTCATGGGCACCACCAGTCATGGGACACCCAACAGTCATGGGACACACCACCAGTCATGGGACACACCAACAGTCATGGGACACCACCAGTCTGGGACACACACCAACAGTCATGGGACACACCACCAGTCATGGGACACACCAACAGTCATGGGACACACCACCAGTCATGGGACACACCACCAGTCATGGGACACACCACCAAGTCATGGGACACACCACCAGTCATGGGACACACCACCAGTCATGGGACACACCACCAGTCATGGGACACACCACCAGTCTTGGTCCCAACAGTCATGGGACACACACCACCAGTCATGGGACACACCACCAGTCATGGGACACACCACCAGTCATGGGACACACCACCAGTCATGGGACACACCACCAGTCATGGGACACACCACCAGTCATGGGACACACCACCAGTCATGGGACACACCACCAGTCATGGGACACACCACCAGTCATGACACACCACCAGTCATGGGACACACCACCAGTCATGGGACACACCACCAGTCATGGGACACACCACCAGTCATGGGACACACCACCAGTCATGGGACACACCACCAGTCATGGGACACACCACCAGTCATGGGACACACCACCAGTCTTGTGACACACCACCAGTCATGGGACACACCACCAGTCATGAAACACCACCAGTCTGGGACACACCACCAGTCATGGGACACACCACCAGTCATGGGACACACCACCAGTCATGGGACACACCACCAGTCATGGGACACACCACCAGTCATGGGACACACCACCAGTCTGGGACACACCACCAGTCATGGGACACACACCACCAGTCATGGGACACACCACCAGTCATGGGACACACCACCAGTCATGGGACACACCACCAGTCATGGGACACACCATCAGTCATGGGACACACCACCAGTCATGGGACACACCACCAGTATGGGACACACCACCAGTCATGGGACACACCACCAGTCATGGGACACACCACCAGTCTGGGACACCACCAGTCATGGGACACACCACCAGTCATGTGACACACCACCAGTCATGGGACACACCACAGTCATGGGACACACCACCAGTCATGGGACACACCACCAGTCATGGGACACACCACCAGTCATGGGACACACCACCAGTCATGGGACACACACACCAGTCATGGGACCACAGTCATGGGACACACCACCAGTCATGGGACACACCACCAGTCATGGGACACACCACCAGTCATGGGACACACCACCAGTCATGGGACACACCACCAGTCATGGACACACCAACAGTCATGGGACACACCACCAGTCATGGGACACACCACCAGTCATGGGACACACCACCAGTCATGGGACACACCACCAGTCATGGGACACACCACCAGTCATGGGACACACCACCAGTCATGGGACACACCACCAGTCTTGGGACACACCACCAGTCATGGGACACACACCATAGTCATGGGACACACCAACAGTCATGGGACACCACCAGTCATGGGACACACCACCAGTCATGGGACACACCACCAGTCATGGGACACCACCAGTCATGGGACACACCACCAGTCTTGGGACACACCACCAGTCATGGGACACACCACCAGTCATAGGACACACCACCAGTCTTGCGACACACCAGTCATTGGACACACCATCAGTCATGGGACACACCACCAATCATGGGACACATCACCAGTCATGGAACACACCATCAGTCATGGGCACACCAGTCATGGGACACACCACCAGTCATGAGACACACCACCAGTCATGGGACACACCAACAGTCCTGGGACACACCATCAGTCATGGGACACCACCAGTCATGGGACACACCATCAGTCATCGGACACACCATCAGTCATGGGACACACCACCAGTCATGGGACACAACCAGTCATGGGACACACCACGTCATGGCACAACATGAGTCATGGGACACACCACCAGTCATGGGACACACCACCAGTCAGGGACACACCACCAGTCATGGGACACACCATCAGTCATGGGACACACCACCAGCATGTGGGACACACCACCAGTCATGGGACACACCACCAGTCATGGGACACACCACCAGTCCTGGGACACACCATCAGTCATGGGATACACCACCAGTCATGGGATACACCACCAGTCATGGGACACACCACCAGTCATGGGACACACCACCAGTCATGGGACACACCACCAGTCATGGGACACACCACCAGTCATGGGATATACCACCAGTCATGGGACACCACCAGTCATGGGACACACCACCAGTCATGGGACACACCACCAGTCCTGGGACACACCACCAGTCATGAGACACACCACCAGTCATGGGACACACCACCAGTCCTGGGACACACCACCAGTCATGGGACACACCACCAGTCTTGTGGACACACCACCAGTCATGGTTCACACCACCAGTCATGGGACACACCACCAGTCATGGGACACACCACCAGTCATGGGACACACACCAGTCCTGGGATACACCACCAGTCTTGGACACACCACCAGTCATGGGACACACCACCAGTCCTACACACCACCAGTCATGGGACACACCACCAGTCATGGGACACACCACCAGTCATGGGTCACACCACCAGTCATGGGACACACCACCAGTCATGAGACACACCTCCAGTCATGGGACACACCACCAGTCCTGGGACATACCACCAGTCATGGGACACACCAACAGTCATGGGACACACCACCAGTCATGAGACACACCACCAGTCATGGGACACACCACCAGTCCTGGGACACACCACCAGTCTTGTGACACCACCAGTCATGGTTCACACCACCAGTCATGGGACACACCACCAGTCATGGGACACATCACCAGTCATGGAACACACCACCAGTCATGGGACACACCACCAGTCATTGGACACACCATCAGTCATGGGACACACTACCAGTCATGGGACACACCACCAGTCTTGTGACACACCACCAGTCATGGGACACCACCAGTCATGGGACACACCACCAGTCATGGGACACACCACCAGTCGTCGGACACCACCAGTTATGGGACACACCACCAGTCATGGGACACACCATCAGTCATGGGACACACCACCAGTCATGGGACACACCATCAGTCATGGGACACACCACCTGTCATGAGACACAGCACCAGTCATGGGACACACCATCAGTCATGGGACACCCACCAGTCGGGACACACCACCAGTCAGGACACACCACCAGTCAGGAACACCATCAGTCATGGGACACACTCAGTCATGTGACACCATCAGTCATGGGACACACCACCAGTCATGGGACACACCATCAATCATGGGACCCACCAGTCATGGGACACACCATCAGTCATGGGACCGTCCTGGGACACACCGTCATGAGACACCACCAGTCATGGGACACCACCAGTCATGAGACACCACCAGTCTGGGACCTCACCAGTCGTGGACAGTCCGCCGTCAGGACACCATTCATGGGACATACCCCAGTCATGGACACACCACAGTCGGACACCACCAGTCATGGGACACACCATCAGTCGGACCACCAGTCTGGGACACCATCAGTCATGGACACACCGGGACATCGTATGGGACACACCCAGTCTGGACACACCAGTCATGGGACCCATCAGTCGGACACCATCAGTCATGGGACACACCAGTCATGGGCACACCATCAGTCATGGGACACACCACCAGTCATGGGACACACCACCAGTCATGGGACACACCACATCATGGGACACCACCAGTCATGGGCCACTCAGTCATGGGACACCCATCAGTCAGGACACACCACCAGTCATGGGACCACCATCAGTCATGGGACACCACCAGTCATGGGACATACCATCCGTCATGGGACATACCACCAGTCATGGGACACACCACCAGTCATGGGACACACCATCAGTCATGGACACACCATCGTCATGGGACACACCACCAGTCATGGGACACAGTCATGGGACACACCATCAGTCATGGGACACCACCAGTCATGGGACACCCATCAGTCATGGGACACCATCAGTCATGGGACACACCATCAGTCATGGGACACCAGTCATGGGACACACCAGTCATGAGACACACCACCAGTCGGGACACACCCCAGTCATGGGACACACCATCAGTCATGGGACAACCACCAGTCATGGGACACCCACCAGTCATGGGACACACCACCAGTCATGGGACACACCATCAGTCATGGGACACACCACCAGTCATGGGACACTATCAGTCATGGGACACCACCAGTCATGGGACACACCACAGTCATGGGACACCATCAGTCATGGGACACACCACCAGTCATGGACACCATCGTCTGGACACCCAGTCTGGGCACAACACTAACCTAACTTCTAACCTAACCTAACCTAACTCTTTAACCTAATCTACCTTACTCCTCGAAGGCGTTGGGTGTTTAAGCATCAAATTAAATAAGCTTGTCTATTCTTCAGGTGATCCTATATATATATATATATATATATATATATATATATATATATATATATATATATATATATATATATATATATATATATATATATATCCTATCCACATTTTATTCATTTGAAGGTAATATACTAAAAAATCCATAATTATTTCTTCCTAGTAAAAAAACAAACAGACGAATACTTGAAAATAAACAAAATCAGTAAGAGACTTTGAGGGGACCTTTATCTGATATATTTCCGCTCCCATAACTTTTTCCCGCGTTCCTACCTCTCGACCAATGACGACAGTAAACTAATCTCCACTTCTTTTCCTCTCGACCAATCACATGAGAGTATACTATTCCCTACCTCCTTTCCTCTCGACCAATCACATGACAATAAACTATTCCTTACCTCCTTTCCTCTCGACCAATCACATGACAGTAAAATTCTCCACTTCTTTTCCTCTCGACCAATCACATGACAGTAAACTATTCCCTGCCTCCTTTCCTCTCGACCAATCACATGACAGTAAACTAATCTCCGCTTCTCTTCCCTCTTGACCAATCATGGGGCTACATTGATGGATGTAGTAACAGTGACGATGACAGTAGTGACGGTGACAGTAGTGACGGTGACAGTAGTGACGGTGATGGGAAAGTAACAACAGAGGGTCAGTTCCTAAAGTTTACGCTCTGATGGACCACCACAGAGGACCACCACAAAGGACCACCACAGAGACCACCACAGAGGACCACCACAGAGGACCACCACAGAGACCACCACAGAGGACCACCACAGGGGACCACCACAGAGGACCACCACAGAGGACCACCACAGAGGACTACCACAGAGGACACCCACAGGGACCACCAGAGAACCACCACAGAGGACCACCACAGAGGACCACCACAGAGGACCACCACAGGGGGACCACCACAGGGGACCACCACAAAGGACCACCACAGAGGACCACCACAGAGGACCACCACAGAGGACCACCACAGAGGACCACCACAGAGGACCACCACAAAGAACCACCACAGAGGACCACCACAGAGGACCACCACAGAGGACCACACCACAGAGGACCACCACAGAGGACCACCACAGAGGACCACCACAAAGAACCACCACAGAGGACCACCACAGAGACCACCACAGAGGGACCACCACAGAGACCACCACAGAGGACCACAACAGAGGACCACCACAGAGGACCACCACAGAGGACCACCACAAAGAACCACCACAGAGGACCACCACAGAGGACCACCACAGAGGACGCCACAGAGGACCACCACAGAGGACCACTACAGAGGACCACCACAGAGACCACCACAGAGACCACCACAGACCACCACAGAGGACCACCACAGAGGACCACCACAGAGGACCACCACAGAGGGACCACCACAGAGAGGACCACCACAGAGGACCACCACAGAGACCACCACAGAGGACCACCACAGGACCACCACAGAGGACCACCACAGAGGACCACCACAGAGGACCACCACAGAGGACCACCACAGAGGACCACCACAGAGGACCACCACAGAGGACCACAGAGGACCACCACAGAGACCACCACAGAGGACCACCACAGAGGACCACCAGAGGACCACCAAGAAGGACCACCACAGAGGACCACCACAGAGGACCACCACAGAGAACCACCACAGAGGACCACCACAGGGGACCACCACAGGGGACCACCACAGAGGACCACCACAGAGGACCACCACAGAGGACCACCACAGAGGGCCACCACAGAGGACCACCACAGAGGACCACCACAGAGGACCACCACGAGGACCACCACAGAGGACCACCACAGAAGGCCACCACAGAGGACCACCACAGAGGACCACCACAGAGGACCACCACAGGGACCACCACAGAGACAGAGGACCAGAGGGACCACCACAGGGGACCTGGAGGGGCCACAGGACAGGGGACCAGGGGACCACCACAGGGGACCACCACAGAGGGCCACCACAGAGGAGCCACAGAGGACCACCACAGGGGACCACCAGAAGGACCACCACAGAGGGACCACCACAGAGGACCTACAGAGGGACCACCACAGGGGACCTACAGGGGACCACCACACAGGGGACCAAGAGGGACCACCAGAGGACCACCACAGGGGACCACAGGGGACCACCACAGGGGACCACCACAGAGGGACCTGAGGGACCACAGGGGACCACCACAGGGACCAGGGGGACCACCACAGAGGACCACCACAGAGGACCACCACGGGGACCACCACAGGGGACGAGGACCACCACAGGGACCACAGAGGACCACAGGGACAACCACAGGGGGCCACAGAGGGACAACCGGGGACCACCACAGAGGACCGAGGACCACCACGGGACCACAGGGACCACCACAGAGACCACACAGGACCACAGGGGCTACAGGGGACCACCACAGAGGGACCACCACAGAGGACCACCACAGAGGGCCTACAGAGGGCCACCACAGGGGACCTACAGAGGACACAGAGGACCACCACAGGACACCACAGGACCTGCAGGGGACCACCACAGAGGGACCACCACAGGACCACCACAGGGGGCCTACAGGACCACCACAGAGGGACCACCACAGGGGACCACCACAGGACCGGGACAGGGCCAGGACAGAGGGACCACCACAGGGGACCACCACAGGGCCGACCACAGAGGACCACCACAGAGGCCACAGAGACCACAGGGACCGAGGCCACCACAGGACCACCACAGAGGGCCACCACAGGGGACCACCGGGGACCTACAGAGGACCAGGGGACCACCAGAGGACAGGGGACCACAGGGGACCTGACAGGGGACCACCACAGGGGACCACCGGGGACCACCACAGGGGACCGACAGGACCACAGAGGACCACCACAGAGGGACCACCACAGAGGCCACCAGGGGACCACCACAGAGGACCTCAGGGACCACAGGGGACCACAGAGGGGCCACCACAGGGGACCTCCACAGGGGACCACCACAGGGACCACAGGGACCACCACAGGGACCCGGGGACAACCCGGGGAACCACAGAGGACCACCACAGAGGACCACAGAGGACCACCACAGGGGACCACACAGGGGACCACACCACAGGGACCACAGGGGACCACCACAGAGGGACCACCACAGAGGAGGACCTGCAGAGGACCCAGGCCACAGAGGACCACCACAGAGGACCACAGGGGACCACCAGAGGACCACCACGGGGCCACCACAGAGGGCCACCACAGGGGACCACCAGAGGACCACCGGGGACCACAGAGGGACCACCAGAGGGACCACCAGGGGGACCACCACAGGGGACCACCACAGAGGACCACCACAGGGGACCACCACAGAGGGACCACAGAGGACACCCAGGGGACCACCACAGGGACCACCACAGGGGGCCACCACAGAGGACCCTACAGAGGACCACCACAGAGGACCACCACAGAGGACCAACAGAGGACCACCACAGAGGGCCACCACAGAGGACCACCACAGAGACCACCACAGAGGACCACCACAGAGGACCACCACAGGGGACAACCACAGGGAACCTGCAAGGGACCACCACAGAGGACCACCACAGGGACCAGCACAGAGACCACCACAGAGGACCACCACAGAGGGGCCACCACAGGGGACCTGGAGGCCACCACAGGGACCACCACAAGGACCACAGGGACCACCACAGGGAACCACAGAGGGACCACCACAGGGGACCACCACAGAGGGCCAGGGGCCACCACAGAGGACCACCACAGGGGACCACCACAGGGACCACCACAGAGGACCCCACAGGGGACCACGGGGCACAGAGGGCCACCACAGAGGACCACCACAGGGACCACCAGAGGGACAGCAGGGGACCACGCACAGGGGACCACCACAGAGGGCCACCACAGAGGGCCACCACAGGGGACCACCACAGGGACCACCACAGGGGACCACCACAGGGGACCACCACAGAGGGACCACCACAGAGGGACACAGAGGGGCCACCACAGAGGGACCACCACAGGGACCACACAGAGGACCACCAAGGGGACCACCAGGGACACCACAGGGGACCACCACAGGGGACCCGGGGACACACAGAGGGACACCACAGAGGACCTGCAGAGGGACCACCACAGGGGGACCACCACAGAGGGGCCACCACAGAGGGACCACCACAGAGGGACCACGGGACCACCACAGGGGGACCACAGGGGACCACCACAGGGGGACCACCACAGGACCACCACAGAGGGACCACCACAGAGGGACCACCAGAGGGACCTGCAGAGGAGGGGACAGAGGGAACCACCACAGAGGACCACCACAGGGACCACCACAGGGGAACAACCACAGGGGCCTACACAGAGGGACAACCACAGGGAACCACAGAGGGACCACCACAGAGGACCAGCACAGAGACAACCACAGGGGACCACCACAGAGGGACACCACAGGGAACCACCACAGAGGACCACCACAGGGACCACCACAGAGGACCACCACAGAGGACCACACAGGGCCACAGGACAACCACAGGGAACCACCACAGAGGACCACCACAGGACCACCACAGAGGACCACCACAGAGGACCACCACAGAGGGCCACACAGGGGGACACCACAGAGGGGCCACCACAGAGGGACCACAGGGGACCACAAGGACCACCACAGAGGACCACCACAGAACCACAGAGGACCACCACAGGGACCACCACAGAGGACACACAGAGGGACCACCACAGAGGGACCACCACAGGGGACCAACACAGAGGACCACCACAGAGGACCACCACAGAGGACCACAGGGGACCAACAGGGGACCACCACAGAGGGACCACAGAGGACCACCACAGAGGGACCTCAGAGGACCACCAGAGGGACCACCACAGAGGGACCACCACAGGGGGACACCACAGAGGGACCACCACAGGGGACACCACGGGACACCACAGGGGACAACCACAGAGGGACCACCACAGGGGACCACCAGGGGACCACCACAGGGACCACCACAGAGGGACCACCACAGGGGGACACCACAGAGGACCTTCACAGGGGGCCACCACAGAGGGACCACCACAGAGGGACCTTCACAGGGGCCACACAGGGGACCACCACAGATGACCACAGAGAGGACACCACAGAGGGACCCCACAGAGGGGCCTACAGGGGACCACCACAGAGGACCACACAGAGGACAACCACAGGGACCACCACAGAGGGCCACCACAGAGGGCCACCACAGAGGGCCACCACAGAGGGCCACCACAGAGGGCCACCACAGAGGACCACCACAGAGGACCACCACAGAGGACCACCACAGAGGACCACCACAGAGGACCACCACAGAGGGCCACCACAGAGGACCACCCAGTTGTTGCTATAATACTCTTGCTGAACTTCAACAACAAAGGTCTTCAAAGGTCTTTAAGCACACAACAAGGTTAATAGTACAGTGTGTGTGTGTGTGTGTGTGTGTGTGTGTGTGTGTGTGTGTGTGTGTGTGTGTCTGTGTGTGTTTTAAGGAGCTGCAGAGTGTTGCTTTCCGTCCTCTGGTTGGGTGTCCACAAAATAACTCGAGAGAGGGTGTGAGAATTTGCACAAAAACTTGATAGATTTCATTATCATCTGACAAGGTCCAAATGATAAACGTTTGGTGCAAATCGTACCATAATTGACCAAGTAATGGCATGGTAACTTCACAAATTGATGTTACATTGATTTTTTTGGAGTGTTAAAGAAAATGATGAAAATGAGACAGTTTCAGCGGTGACTACAATAATTTAAAGTAACATTATACATTCAACATTTACCCTGCTATGGTAACGGTTTGCCTGTTTTAACTCAGCAAGTAATACCTTACATTTCTTAATACACCTAAGCGTCTCAAACCCGTGCTTGAGATGAACCATCCAACTGTTGTGAAATACACCTCCAAATTCATCCTCAGATTTTTCTCTAAGCGATGAAATTTTTCATCTCTATCACCACCACCACCTCTAATACGATCCAGTCTGATAACTTACGCATTTATTATTTCATACTGACCAAAAGAGTTCTAATGAATTATATGAATTTATAATAATATATTTTCATGTATGAGGGAGGAAAATTCCAGGGGATAAGAAACATAATCTCACTTATAATGTATCAATAAACTATTTAAAGCAAATCAATATAAAGGCGTTCAGTTCTCTCATGCCGAAGTGTACGAGGTATGTGCTAGGGCTGCTGCTCTCAGGGGTCACTCTCTAATCATTAAGTATGTTAAGAAATATAAATGAGATATCATTTAAGTTTGTTTCAAGGTCGCTGTGGACTGAGGGTCGGCGGGGGAGGAAGGGGAACACTTAGTTATTAGCTCCAGTCATAATGCACATTCAATTTGGCCTTTGCAATCTCAAGTTACTAATTGGTCTATATATTTCTTTAATGTCTTGGAAGTTGGCCATGCGAATCTCTGGAGCTCAACCATAATTTTTAATCCACTCTTCATCTCTTACTGATAAAGCGACACTGGGTTTGAGGTCATTAATTAATTAGGTAAGTCTTAGCGCTCACCAATAACAATATACAGATACACTGACGTAACACCACCACCTACACGACAACAACACATACAGTGCACCTCAACACGAAAAAAAAAACACACCCACTACCCTGAATAGAAATATGTTCACCACAGACGATATTACATTCCTGGAGTAAAGCCACATAACATTATCTAACCTGAACTAAACTTACCCCCTTTTCCCTTCCTGCTATCAAGCCTTTTACCTACTCCTTCCTCCCATCCACCTTCTTCAACCATTTCTCTTCCCATTAACAATTCCCCTTCCCCTCCGGAAATGGGAAAAGGAGGGAGGGGTTGAAGGGTAGAGGAAGGGGGAGAGGAGGGGGGGCTGTGTCAGATGATTACACCGCAAGTAATTATAAGTCTGATAAATGGTGCAGCAGGTCGAGGAGTGAGGGTCTTCTGAGGAACCTGGCCAAAACCTGAGGACCTGGACACAACCTGAGGACCTGAACACAATCTGAGGACCTGAACACAACCTGAGGACCTGGCCAAAACCTGAGAACCTGGACACAACCTGAGGACCTGGCGAAAACCTGAGAACCTGGACACAACCTGAGGACCTGAACACAACCTGAGGACCTGAACACAACCTGAGGACCTGGACACAACCTGAGGGACCTGTGGCCCAAAACCTGGAGACCTGGATGGCCTGAGGATCTGGACACAAGCCTGGGGACCTGCTGGACACAGTCATTGGATGTTGGACACTAGCAGGAGAACTGGACACAACCTGGGGATCCTGGACACAATCTGAGAACCTGGACACCAATCTGAGGGACCTGGACACCGTCTGGATGTTTGGACATAGCTTGGAGGATCTGGACACAACCTGAGAACCTGGACACAATCTTGGACATAACTTGGAGATCTGGGCACAACCTGAGGACCTGGACACAACCTGAGGATCTGGACACAACCTGAGGACCTGGACACAACCTGAGGAATTGGACATAACCTGAAGACCTGGACATAAACTGAGGATCTGGGCATAACCTGAGGACTTGGACATAACCTGGAGACCTGGACATAACCTGAAAACCTGGACATAAACTGAGGATCTGGGCATAACCTGAGGACTTGGACATAGCATTGGGGACTTGGACATGACCTGGGGACTTGAACATAACCTGGGGACTTGGACATAACCTGGGGACTTGAACATAACCTGGGGACTTGGACATAACATTGGGGACTTGGACATAACCTGGGGACTTGGACATAACATTGGGGACTGGACATAACCTGGGGACCTGGACATAACATTGGGGACTTGGACGTAACCTGGGTACTTGTACATAACATTGGGGACTTGGACATAACCTGGGGACTTGGACATAACCTGGAGACTTGGACATAACCTGGGGACTTGGCTATAACCTAGGGACTTGGACATAACCTGAGGAACTGGACATAATCTGAGGACTTGGACATAACCTGAGGACCTGGACATAATCTGAGGACATAATGCCCAAACCTATTGTCTAAGTATTAATATTTCTTGTAACACTTACTATATTTACAGTACCTGCTTTTATTGTACCATCAAAACCGTTTTATAGGAAATTATCATGTAAATAGATAAGTAATTACCATTGCAATAAACATAATTGTCAACTAAACATCATCCTGACAGCTCTGTCCTCTTGTTCAACCTTATTACTGTACAACCCAGGTTTTACTGCTCCCCCATTATACTTATGTTTTTCAATTCCACTGTAATTTATGTATATATAAAAAATAAATAAACTAAAAAAATATAATAAATAAATAAAATAAATAAATATTGAAGTGATAACCGTGGTAACATTATGAGATGTTCTTATTACCACCATGCTATTGTACTATTCCAGATGTTACTAAATGTTACATCATACTTCCTTGAGATAAATATATAGTATATATCAGGAGCCTAAAAGAGAGCTCAGGTTCTCAACTGGCTCAGCCATGTTAATAATGTTATTATTATCCACTCTGTATCTGTGTTTTTCTGGGTAAATAAACTGTTTCAATTCAATTCAATTCAAATCCTATAAGCTAACCCATAAAACCCACACCACCCACTGCAAACTTTAGTAACATCACCTTCCGCCCACAAAACTCGTATTTCCCACCACCCACACCACCCACCACCTACCACCACCCACACCACTACCCACCACCCAAACCAGCACTATCCACACCAGCCATCACCTCACCTTACACGCCACCCACACCGCCCACACAACCCCCACCACCCACTTCCTCAAACGCCACCCATTTCCACAAGACTCGTAGAGCAAAACAAAAAAAAGTTACATTCTTTTAAACTCGCTAGAATGAGTGGCAGACTAATTGCCTCAGTGACACTAAGCTGGAAGACTTGACTCCTGAGGGATAAACAGCTATAAGGTATAAACTCTTGGTCTTTTTTTCTACTCACAGGATTAATCACCACACAGAAGAATCCCTCGTACGGAAAAAAAAAATCTTTACGCAATATCGAGAGAAACAAAAAACATGAACTCCCTGCTTCATCCCATCGTGTAAAAATACTTGTGATTGCTCCGCTTAAAGGAGAGTGACGACGTGATTGGTTCCCACGATGGAGAAAAGACCACGTGATTGGCTCCCAGAATGTAAATTAATATCACGTGATTGGCCACGATGAGGTAAACAGACCGCATGATTGGTTGGCTCAATTTTCCCATTTTAGAATATAAATAATAAACCGGAAAAATAAATCAGCACCAGTTTCCGGGTTTTTATGGGAACTAATTATCCTAAGTAACGACTCTGTGAAATTAGTTTAATCAATATCCTGCAACTGGTGGTTTTAGAGGAGTAATTAATGCAACTTGGCAGAGAAAATGACGCGATTTTTGCCGGAGGGGAAACTTGAGCCTGGAGACGACACGGGAGACTGTAAGACCTCGAGTGTCCTCCTATACCAGGAACCGTGGAGATTATGGGAGATCATGGGAGATAACAGCTGCTGCATTGAGAACTGTGGAGATTATGGGAGATAACAGCTGCCGTATTGAGAACTGTGGAGATTATGGGAGATAACAGCTGCCGTATTGAGAACTGTGGAGATTATGGGAGATAACAGCTGCTGTATTGAGAACTGTGGAGATTATGGGAGATAACAGCTGCCGTATTGAGAACTGTGGAGATTATGAGAGATAACAGCTGCCGTATTGAGAACTGTGGAGATTATGAGAGATAACAGCTGCCGTATTGAGAACTGTGGAGATTATGAGAGATAACAGCTGCAGTATTGAGAACTGTGGAGATTATGGGAGATAACAGCTGCCGTATTGAGAACTGTGGAGATTATGGGAGATAACAGCTGCCGTATTGAGAACTGTGGAGATTATGGGAGATAACAGCTGCCGTATTGAGAACTGTGGAGATTATGAGAGATAACAGCTGCCGTATTGAGAACTGTGGAGATTATGAGAGATAACAGCTGGCTGTATTGAGGAACTGTGAGATTGGTGGGAGATAACAGCTGTATTGAGGAACTGGGTCAGGAGATTATGGGAGATACAGCTACCATATTGAGAACTATGGAGATTATGGAATAATGCCTTGTTGAGGTGGATTAACAGCTGCTGTATTGGAGAACTGTGGAGACAGGGATAATAGCTGCCGTGGAGATTGAGATAACAGCCTGAGAATCAGAGACTATGGGAGATAGGGAACACGTGTTACCGGGGTTGTAGGGTTGGGAAGACGGGAAGTGAGACGGGAAGAGACAGGAAGGAGGAGACGGGAAGAGACAGAAAGAAAGAGGACGGGAAGAGACAGGAAGAGGGAGTGAGAGACGGAGAGAGGAAGAGAGAGGTGAGGAGAGAAGAAGGTGGAGGGAGACGGGAAGAGACAGGAAGAGTGAGGAGACGGGAGAGACAGGAAGAGTGGGAGGAGATGGGAAGACGGGGAGAGGAGAGACGGGAAGAGACAGGAAGAGGAGGGGAGACGGGAAGATGGGGAGTGGAGAGATGGAAGAGACAGGAAGAGGAGGAGACGGGAAGACGGGGAGTGGAGAGAGTTGGGAAGGACAGAAAGAAGAGACAGGAAGAGTGAAGGAGACAGGAAGAGACAGGGAAAGAGTGAGAAAGAGGAGGAGACGGGAAGAGACAGGAAGAGGAGGAGACGGGAAGAGACAGGAAGAGGAGGAGACGGGAAGAGACAGGAAGAGGAGGGGAGGAAGACGGGAGGGAGAGACGGGAAGAGACAGGAAGAGGAGACAGACGGGGAGAGGGAGAGAGGAAGAGACCGGAAGAGTGAGGAGATGGAAGACAGGAAGAGGAGAGACGGGAAGAGACAGAAAGAGGAGGAGACGGAAGAGACAGGAAGAGTGAGGAGACGGAAGAGACAGGAAGAGGAGGAGGACGGGAAGAGACAGGAAGA